AGAGAGAGAGAGAGAGAGAGACAGAGCGCGCCAGAGAGAGAGAGACACAGACAGACAGAGCGCGCCAGGGAGAGAGAGAGAGAGAGACAGAGCGCGCCAGAGAGAGACAGAGCGCGCCAGAGATAGAGAGACAGAGCGCGCCAGAGAGAGAGAGAGCGCGCGAGAGACAGAGCGCACATGTGTGACAGAGAGAGAGGCAGAGGCAGAGCACGCAAGAGAGAGAGAGAGACAGAGTGTGCAAGAAAAAGAGAGATGGAGCAAGAGAGACAAAGGGAAGACAGGAAAATGTCAGTAATGACAGAATGGAGAAAGGAAGAGCACAAGGGCGAGAGTTATTTTAATTCCTCTATTAAATGTGCGCATCACCGGCAACAGCAGCAATTGGTGACTCTGCACTTCATGACATGCTACGTTAAACACAATTCAGATGCTGGTGAAGAGTCAACACATCGCTGAGGGCCTCGAGTCCCATAGACACCAGACCAAGGAAGGACACCAAGTGAGGATGACGGATGTCCTTCCTTGGTAGTTGCTGGACAGGTGGATGGGTTCTTACATCAGACTGTGCACATGGTAAGGTGCGGGGGCAGTGCTCGGAGGTGAGGGCATGAGCACGAGCACAGCAGATGTGAGATGTGTGCAGAGGGCAACGGTAGAAGGAGAACATAAGATGAGATGGAGGATGCGTTAAATGTGGAGCATGGAGATTGAGCATACGATGCAGCTAGCAGTGCTGGAAAGCCAGGAGGCAGTGAATCCGTGGGGTGGGGGGTGGGGGGGGCGCGGTGAAGACAGTCGCAGGGAAACGGCGGGATCGTCGCAGGGAGATGATGGAGGGATCGTCACAGGGAGATAGCGGGATCGTCACGGGGAGATGACAGAACGTTGCGAGGAGACGGTGGGATTGTCGCGGGGAGATGATGGATCATCGCGAGGAGACGGCGGGATCGTCGCGGGGAGATGATGGATCGTCATGGGGGAATATTGACATGAGCAAGGGATTAGGGATTATTGCAGGGAGCGAGAACAAATTACAGCGATTATTAAGAGGAGTGATAAAGGAATCACAGGGGATTACTGTAGGGAGCAAGGCGGGACCATGGGGTATTATTGAGAGGAACAAGGACAGATCGCAGAGGACGATTGAAAGGAGCAAGGAGGAATTGGGGATTATTGTAAAGGATCATGGGTTATTGCAGGGAGTAAGGATCATGAGGGATTATTGAGTGCAGCGATGCGGAATCACAGGAGATTATTGCAGACAGTGAGGGCAGGTGACAGGGGTTTATTGAGAGGAGTGGGAAGGGATCGCTGGGGATTATTGCAGAGAGTAAGGTGGGGTCACAGAAGGTGTCACGGCAGGTTATGGAGACAGGATGCAGGTGAGCAGACTGACATGGGGGTGGAAGAGATGTGAACACATACAATGAACAGACATTAACAACAGTGGCAAACATTTCCATCTCCAGATCGGCGTAACAGCTGAAGTGTTTGTTACATCTCCTTGTCAATGTGAAAATGACATGGGGAGCATCAACACACTGTGGCCTCCAGCCCTTCTGTCAATACTCACTGCTAGATACTGAGGTCCCAGTGTGTTGAGTCCAGCCAAGTTGCCCCACATGGTGGCTGCATTAAGCTGCTGCATCTGCTGTTGGAGTTGCTGAGCCATACGCTTCTGTTCCTTGTCCTTCTGGGTGTCAGCAAACTTCACAACAATCGGTGAAGAACAACCCTGTGTAGGAGAAAGCAGTAAAAGCAGGTGATATAAAAGACAGGGGAGACGAGGAGGATGGGAAGAGAGGGCAGCGTAAGCAAGGGGATGGGACAGAGAGGTGGAGGGGGTGGAAAGGGGAGAAGGGGGGGGCAGGGGGGGGGGGGGGGGGGGGGGGTGGGCACGCGAGAATGACAGAACCCGAGGGCTCTCTGCAAGAGTGCACAAAAGAGCAAGAGACTGTGAGAGCGTGAGACAGCGCATCAGTTAGTGCACAGCTGGGTGAGAGAATCACAACCAGCAAAGTCATCAGTGAGAGAAGGAGAGCAAGCCAGTGAGTAAGAAATAGACAGGGGAGCGAGGCCAGAGACAGTGACGGAGCAAGAGGCACAGCCAGAGCCAGAGCCAGCAATCGAAGGGGTGGGTGAGTGATCATAGAAATCCTACAGTGTGGGAGCAGGCCACTCGGCCAATTCACCCTCTCCAAACGGCATCCCGCCCAGACCCACACCACTAACCTATCCCTGTAACCCTGCATCTTTCATGGCTCATCAACCAAGCCTGCACAACTTTGGACCATAGGACAAAACTGGAGCACGCAGAGGAAACCCGAGCAGACACGAAGGGCATACAAGCTCCACACAGACAGTTACCCGAGGCTGGAATCAAACACAAGTCACTGGCACTATCAGGCAGCAGTGTTAACCACTGAGCTACCGTGCTGCCTCATGAGAGAGCGGGAAGAGTGCGTGGGGACTGGGCGAGGTCGCGCCAGCGAGCACAGGGACCGGGCGAGGTTGCGCCAGTGAATGCAGGAGTGCGTGAGCATGGATACCAGGTAAGTACTTAACAGGAGATGACTACAGGACTATCTTGAGCAGGCAGTGGATTGAGATGAGCTTGTATAAATTGCAGCATTGGAATGTGGAAGCGAATAACTTGTGAGCTTCTTTGTAAGACTTGGATTGTTGGACAGGACTCACCTCCATCGTCTGTGACTGGTGCATGGTCTTGATTGCATTCTGGGCCATGGAGCGGGTGGCGAATGTAATAAATGCACAGCCTGCAGAGAGAGGGCAAATCGTCAGGGACAATAATCCCAAAACCAACAGCACATGAGCTTCAATATATACATAGGGGCAACCCAAGGGAACCGGGTACAAGGTCAACCCAAAAGGCAGGGAGTTGAGATAGAAGAGAAGACAGATGAACAACAATAGCAGGTATTTAAAATAGAGAAAAGATATGTCCCAATGGAGGAAAGAGGTGGAAAGTTGTTAAACCAACCCCACAGTACAATGTGGCAAAGATAATGGTAAAACAAAGGATTATAGAATTTTTAAAACCGGCAAGTAGTCATACAGCATGGAAAGAGCGCCTTCGGTCCAACTCGTCCATGCCAACTGAGTTTCCAAAACTAAATTAGTCTCATTTGCCTGCACCTGGCCCATATCCTTCTAAACCTTTCCTGTTCATGTACCTATCCAAATGTCTCTTAAATGTTGCAACTGTACCTGCATCTACCACTTCCTCTAGCAGTTCATTCCATATACAAACCACCGTCTGTGTGAAAGAGTTGCTCATCAAGTTCTTTTTAAATTTTTCTCCTCTGACCTTAAAATTATGCCCTCTAGTTTTGAAATCCCCAACCCTAGGGAAAAGACCTTTGCTATTCACCTTAGTCACACCCCTCATAATTTTATAAACCTCTATTAGGTCACCTCTCAAGCTCCTACACTCCAGTGAGAAAAGTCCTGACTTATCCAGCCTATTCTTATAATTCAAAATCTCCAATCCCCTCCAGACTGATCTCAAAACGGTGTGACCTTGGTCTCGCCACACCCTCTGCAACTGAATCCTCAGCTCTCTGACACATAGGCCGCAATCAGTGAGGACAGGTAACTGCACTTCCTCCACAATAACACTCAACACTGGAGCCCCCCCAAGATGTGTCCTCAGCCCCCTACTGTACTCCCTGTACATCTATGACTGTGTTGCCAAATTCCAAACAAACGCCATCTACAGGTGGCTGATGACCATAGTGGGACAGATATCTAACAGTGACGAGTCAAAATACAGAAGGAAGAGAGGGGTCTTGGTGACGTGGTGCAATATAAACAATCTGTCTCTCAACGTCAGCAAAACTAAAGAACTGATCATCGAGTACAGAAAGAAGGGAGGAGAACACATCCCCATCTACATCAACGGAACTGAGGGTGAGAGAGTGAAGAGCATCAAGTTCCTCAGAGTGATGATAACCAACAACCTATCCTGGACTTCCCACGTAAATGTGACAGTCAAGAAGGCACGACAATGCCTCTTCTTCCTCAGGCGGCTCAGGAAATTTGGCATGTCCATAAGGACCCTCACCAACTTCTACAGATGCACCATTGAAAGCATGCTGTTCGGGTGCATAACGGCCTGGTACGGCAACTGCTCTGCCCAGGACCATAAGAAGCTACAGAAGGTTGTGTGCACAGCCCAGACCATCACAGAAGCCAACCTCCCATCCATGGACTCTATTTACATGGCTTGCTGCCACGGAAAGGCGATCAACATCATTAAAGACCCATCGCACCCTGGTAATGACCTCCTACAAACTCTTCCGTCAGGCAGAAGATACAGAAGCCTGTACACACGCACCAGCAGGTTCACGAACAGCTTCTTCCCGACTGTTATCAGACTGTTGAATGGACTCTAGCCTCAAATAATGTAACCTGCAATGTAACCTGTATGCCTCTAAGTCTTTTTGATCTGTACATCCTTTGCTTGCTGTGATCTGCCTGTACCGCTCACAAATAAAGCATTTCACTGTATTTCCATACACGTGACAATAAAAATCAATCATCCTAGCAAAGTCAATACAGTGTGGAGCCGGAGGAACTCAGGAGATCAGGCAGCATCAGAGAAGCAGAGGAGCATGAGTCCTGATGAAGGACGTAAGCCCAAAACATTGACTTTCCTGCTCCTCTGTTGCTGCCTGACCTGCTGTGTTCCTCCAGTTCCACACTGTATTGACACTGACTCCAGCATCTGCAGTTCCTGCTGTCTCCGAACATCCTGTGAATCTTTTCTGTACCCTCTCCACTTTAATAATATCCTTTCAACAGCAAGGCAACCAGAACTGTACGAAGTACTCCAAAAGTGGCCTCACCAACATCCTCAAAGTAATACTGAAACAGACAATAAGATGTTCCCTAAAAGAATATGGCTGGGGAAATAATTATGGCAAACCAGGGAAGGGCAGAGGAATTGAATGAATATTTCGCATCAGTCTTTATGGTAGAGGACATCAATTGGACAAGAACAAAGAATACAAAGAACAGTGCAACACAGGAACAGACCCTTCAGCACAAGACAACTGTGCTGACACAAGGCATTTCTAAACTAAAAGCCTTGTGCCTCTACATGGTCCATATCCTTCTGTTCTCTGCCTGCTCATGTGTCAATCAAGGTGCCACTTAAATGTTGCTATTGTACCTGCCTCACCACCTCCTCTGGCAACACATTCCAGGCACTTACCACCCTCTATGTAAAAATCTTGCCTCTTACATCTCTTTCAAACTTAGCCCCTTTTACCTTAAAACGATGTCCCCTAGTAACTGACATGTGTACCTTGGGAAAAAGACCGATTATCCATTCTATCCATGCCTCTCCTAAATTCATAGAATTTTATCAGGTTGCCCCTCATCTTTCAATGTTTAAGTGCAATCAAACCAAGTTTGTCCAATCTCTTCTCATAGCCTCTAAACCAGGCATCATCCTGGTAAACTGTTCCTGTATGCTCTCCAAAGTCTCCACAGCCTTCTGTTAGTGTGGCAAACAGAATTGTATATAACATTTCAAACACGGCCTTACTAAAGTTCCGTACTGCTGCAAAATGACTTGCCAATTTTTATACTCTATGCACCAACTGATGAAGGCAAGCATGCCATATGCCTTCTTGGCACCTTGTCCACGTGTGTTGCTACTTTTCAGGTAACTGTGAACCTGTATGCCTAGATCCCTCTGTATATTGATGCTAAGGTTCTGCCGTTTACTATATACTTCCCTCCCGCAATAGTCCTTCCAAAAATGCATCACTTCACATTCATCTGGCTTAAACACTATCTGCCATTTTTCCACCTAGTCTCCAATCTATCTATATCTTGCTATATTCTATGGAAATCGTCCTCACTATTTGCAGCTCTCCAATCTTTGCGTTGTCTGCAAACTTACTACTCAAGCCACCTGATTCTCCTCCAAATCAACAGGGGTCCTAAAACTGACCCCTGTGGAACACACTGGTCACAGATCTCAGTCAGAAAAACACCCTCCCAACACTACTCTCTCTCTTATCACTAAGCTAGTGCTGTATCCATCATACCAGCTCACTGTAGGTCCCGTGTGACTTCTTTTGTGTGATACACGTTTTGTATCAGCCTGCCACAAGGGACCCATCAAAGGCCTTGCTAAAGTCCATACAATGTCTACTGCCCTGATCTCATCAATTATCTTTGTCATTTCTTCAAAAAAAACTCCAAGTTACTGAGACACAAACTTTCCTGCACAAAGCCATGCTGCCTATCACTAATAAGTCCATACTGTCCCAAATGTGAATAAATCTTAGCCTTAAGAACCTCCGCCGATAATTACCCTACCACGGATACAAGGCTCATCAACTTGTAATTTTCCAGATTATCACTGTTGTCCTTCTTAAATAAAGGATCAACAGCGGCTATTCTCTAGTCCTATGGGACCTTTCCTGTAACACAAATACACACTCCCATTACCACCCCACTAGGATTCCGAAGGGACCGTTTCCTCTGGGACACACTTCCTTCACTTCAAACACTTCCCTACATCCCCATGGTACCTTCCCAAGCATTTGCGAGTGATGTAACATCTGCACATTTACTTCCTTCCTCTTCACTATTCAAGGCCCCAGACATACCTTCCAGGCGAAGCAGTGATTTACCTGTATTTCAATCAATCCAGTACACTGTATTCGCTGCTCACAATGTGGTCTCCTCTACAGTGTGGAGACAAAACACAGACTGGGTGACTGCTTTATGGGACATTATGTTTTATCCATAAAAATGACACTGAGCTTCCAGTTGCCAGCCACTTCAACATACCACTATGCTCCCTGGCCAACATCTCTGTCTCAGGCTTGTTACAGTGCTCTGGCAAGGCTCAGCGCAATCTGGGAGAATGGTATCCCATTTTACACTTAGGGACCCTGATGCCTTCAGGATTCAAATATTAATTTTAGAATCTGACAGGTTCTTGGTTGGTAAGGGGATCAAGGGTTTCAAGCAGAAGGCAGGAGAATAGGCTTGAGAGAGATATGTCATGATCAAATGGAGTAGCAGACTCGATGAACCAAATGGCTTAATTCTGCTCCTATATCTTATGGACTACAGATGCTGTCATTTTTGTTTAAGATTCTTAGTGGATTTGAAAGAGCAGATGCACAGAGGTTGTTATCCTTTGTGGGAGAGCTGAGGAGCAGAGAGCAGAATTTGGACGAAGGGGTTGTCCAGTTACGACAGAGGACGATTTCCTCCTGTCAGAAAGTAGAGAGTCTGTGGAATTCTTAACCACAAAGGGCTGTTGAGGCTGGGACATTAATTACATTCAAGGCTGAGATGGTCAGATTTTAAGCAGTAAGGGAGCCGAAAATGGGAAAAAGGCAGGCAAATGGAGTTGTGGATGATTAAATGAGCCACTATTGCACTAAATGACAGGGCAAACTCGATGAGATAAACAGCTTCCTTCTCCTCCTACATCTTACAATCTTTAATGACCCACGGATAGAGAGTGTGCAGGGACATGAGTTTCCAGAGCTAAGAAGACCAAAAAAAAAAGGGTTTAGATTAGTGGATTTATTTCATAACCCATTCATACCCTTGGTGCTCGAACATGACGACCCTGGCAATCAGCTGCTCCCTGGATCTAGAATATCTAATGGTGAAGTGCCACCCCTACTACCTGCCAGGGGAACTTATTTCTGCTGTCCTGACTAGCTTATATCCCACCCCACGTGGAAGTGAAGAGTGCACTTGATGAAATACACACTGC